AAAACAAAAAGAGGTTGAGAAGTTAGAGGGTTGATATGTTGTGGGGTTGTTAACCAATGTTATAAAACAACATATGTACTTCTGTTTCATGAGAAACTATTTGTTCTGTAAGACTTCACCTGAAATACAATAAAAAATTAAAAAAAATATTAAAAAAAAAAGAAGCCCAGTTTTATTAACTGATAAGAAAAGGCAGCTAGGGTCCCTGAGGGTACATGGATTTGTTTTTTAAAACTGACAAAATATATTACACTCTCATGCACAAAATCTGTGCCTGACTATATAAAATCATAAAACTTTCTACTGGTAACTATAAGTCTGAGCTTCATATTTAATGTTCTACTTGGAAATGTGGCACACTGGAGAACACCTTCCGACTCCTGCAGAGAACAGCTACAGAAGTGATACAATCACCTTTTGGGAGACGATGTAGCATCAAATCCATGACTGAACCAGATGGCCTTTCCAAATCCCAAGATTCTGGTTTTATCATTTTATGATTTAAACATAGGTGTTTGCCTTCAATTTAAAATAGCAACCAGACAATGAATTATCAGACACACTAAGGTGACGAGATTAATATCCCAAAGAAAAAGAAGTGAAAATGTATTTCTGAACAACAACAAGCCAAAGATGGTTGAAGACTTTCAGCAAACGTTTATGACAAACATTTATGCATGCTTCTGACGTCAGTCATGAGTAAAAACAGTAAGACAAAAAACAACACCTTTTGTTAACAAAAATTCACACTGGGCTTAATGACTGAAAAAAAAAAAAAAATCCCAAAACAGTGTCTAAAAATATTTCTAAATTACAGACGGAAACAGAATTCCATGTTATTTATTCAATGACCTACTCTAATATTAGTGAAAGTTTGATTCTAACTCTCGAGATGAAAATAAAATGGCTAAAATTAACTCTGTGATGGTTGACCAATTATATTAAAATTCGACAGTACACCATAGTCCTAATAGCGCTTATATAGTTAGACTTTTCCCCCCATAAAAGAAAACGCTAACAGGGGTAGGCAGAGATTCTCATAGTGAGAAACGGAAAGCGACATTTGCGGAAAAATACAAAAACTACACGCTAGACGCTTCCGCATCTGTGAGCGACCAAACACAGAGGCCCCCTTACCTCCCATCTGCATAGTCGGTATCCGCTCCGCCCCACCAGACGTCGGAATCATCGTCCTCAGCATCAGCAGAATCGACACTGTCACTCTCATCTGCCAGGGGGCAGCAGACAAACTCCACCCCTCGGAACTTGTCGATTCCACAGGGTAGCAGCATGCCGTAGTCGTGCAAATTGGTACTCTTCTCGCTACATGTCTGCAAAGGGCAGGGGGACCCTGGTGAGGGGATGCGTTTCATTGCAAGAAAATCCCAAATATAATAATCAACACACAGACCCTGTCTATTAGGACCCGATGTTTCCAAAAAAAAAAAAGACGTTTTGCTTTATGAGTGGGTTTACAACAGGGTTTCTTTAGCACAGGCTCCTTTTGATGCCTTTATTTTTTTTTAAGTTTATTATTCATTTCATACAAACTTTTCTGTTACACAGTTCAGTCCAGTTGCCATCAAGTCGACTCCAACTCATGGCGACCCCAGGTGTGGCAGAGTGGAACTGTGCTCCACGGGGTTTTCAGCGGCTGATTTTTCAGAGGGTAGAGTTCAAAGCCTGTATTCTGAGGCGCCTCTGGGTGGACTTGAATGGCCAGCCTTTCCGCTCGCAGCAAGTCATCTTAACCACCTGCACCACCTAGACTCTCCTTACAGAATAGAGGCTTATTAAAACCAACGCGGAGGGAAACTAACTGAGAAATAAGATGCAGAGGAAGCCTGTGCAGGTGGAGAGAGACAGCCAAGAATCAATGCTTTCTGACTTCATTTGCGTATCAGGAAGTTTTCAAGGCTCCTTGTACACCCCAACTCATTCTCACCTCCATTACAGACAGGTTCCTTTCATCTGAACCTGCCTTTCTGTAGAAATTCTAGCTCTCCTGGCTCAGTTTCACAGTAACAATCCTGGGAATAGAAGAAATTATCCTCTACCTACTATAAATCAGAACTTAACAGTTCTTACAGATTTCTCATTCAGTATCTTTTTGCTTTCCTGGAATCTGCTAAATTTTCACAAATCTAGATTAACATAATGCTCTGAAAACAGCCACTAGTGACAGAGAAAAGACAGTAATTCAACACACCTAGGTAAACAATGAAAATATTACAGGATGGATTTTGACCACGTACGAATTAAAGACATTTCTGTTTCTTAATAACTATATTTTTTTAACTCAAAAATAATTGAAAAATGAGGCTATCAGATATGCTTTAAATTTTTGAGTTTGTTTTCTTAAGTTCAATATGTTCCTAAATGTCCAAACTACATTTTTTATATAAAGAAAACTGTTTTACAATGAATGAGAACACAGGATTTTACAAAAGGCAAAAATAATTCTAATTCTTAAGTTGCTTTAGGACTATGATATAATACTTAAGATAGATCAGGGTTTCTCAACTTCACACTACTGACATTTTGGACTGGATAATTCTTTGGTCTTGAGAGATGGGGGATTTTTTTGGCGGGGGAGGTGTTTAACCTGTGCAGGGTAGGATGTTTAGAAGCATCCCTGGCCTCTAGACACTAGATGCCAATAGCACTACCTCTTCCAGTTGTGACAACCCAAAACATCTCCACGTCACTGGGAAGGAATTGGGGAGCAAACTCAACCCCAGTTGAGAATAACTGGAATACATAAAAAAGCTGAATTCTAGGAGTCTGGGCTGACCACAAATAAACCATATACATCTGTTGGAAAAGCTTCATAGCACATCAGAGCAACAGAGAGCAGCTTTGAAGGTAGTGATAGAAGGACAGAGCCTGGGTGGTATAAGCGATCTGCGATTGGCTGCTCACCCAAAGGTTGGCAGTTCAAACCTGCTCATCGGCCCTACAGAAGAAAGGCCCGAGGAACTGCTTCCATAAAGATCACAGCCAAGAAAATCCTACGGAGAAGTTCTGCTCTGTAACATATAGGGCCGCCATGAGTGGAGGCCACTCGAAGGTAGCTAACAATAACAGCAACAAATAGGGGCACCAAGTGACACTAGATCTTCAGTCTTAATTGTTTTATGTTTTTATGGGCTTGGCCAAAAATAAAGGGCTAGGATTGGTGGTATACCCACCAACTGCGGGAGCATGAAGGTGGAGAGCATGTCCTGGTGAATATAAAACTGGACAGAATAACTTAGAAACAGAATCATTATTATTATTCTTATTTGTGTTTTGAATATTACCTTTGTTTTTATATTTTTTTCTTTATTTTGTTGTTGTTGAAAGTATACACAGCAAAACATACACCAATTCAACAGTTTCTACATGTCCAATTTAGTGACACTGATTACAATCTTTAAGCTGTGCAATCATTCTCACCCCCCTTTTCAGAGTTGTTCCTCCCCCATTAACATAAACTCACTGCCCCTTAAGCTTCCTGTCTAATCTTTCAAGCTGCTGTTGTCAATGTGATCGCATATAGGTAGTTTTTTAAAAAGCATAATGCTCAAGGCAGACCTTTTATATTAGTTAACTTCCAACTATTGCTTGGTTTTAAGAAGACTCCAGGGGATATTTTTGGTTTAAGGTTTAAAAGATTATCTGAGGGCAATAGTTTCAGAGGTTCATCCACCCTCCATGGCTCCAGAAAGTCTAGATATAGTCCATGAAAATTTGAAATTCTGTTCTGTATTTTCCCCCTTTAGATCAGGATTCTTATGTGGAATCTTTAATCAAAATGTTCAGTAATGGTAGCTGGGCACCATTCAGTTCTTCTGGTCTCATGGCAGTGAGGCAGTTTTGTTCACGGAGGCAATTAGCCACACATTCCATATCCTCCTTCTGTTCCTAACTCTACTTCTTCCTCTATTGTTCCAAGTGAATAGAGACCATTTTTTGTGCCTTGGATGGTACTTGTGAGCTTTTAAGATCCCAGGCACTACGCAACGGACTAGGAGGTAGAACAGAAGCACTGAACATGTTATCAGGCCAGTTAACTGGGAGGTCCCATGAAATCATGACCCTAAACCTCAAAACCAAAGAACCAAACCCCATGAGGTATTTGGTTGTATACAAGCAGCCTTAGCTGCTACGCTTTAATTTTTTTTTTGTTTGTCATTGTTATAAATATATCTACCACATAACCTTTGCCAATTCAACTTTTTACAGGTATACAACTTATTGACAGCAATTACAATAACTGGCTGTGCAAGCCTATCCATAATGAATGTGATTTTTATATCACTATTAACCCCCCTTTTCTCCCTCCCTCCCACCCCTGCTAACTTCTAATAAACTTTGGTCTCTATTTGCCTTTTCTTGTCTTTTTATGTAAGTGAGGTCATACAATATTTGTCCTTTTGTGATTGGCTTTTTTTGCTCAGCATAATGTCTTCAAGCTCCATCCATAGTGTATTATGACTTCATTTCTTAATTTAGGTTTCATGCTGGTATGGAACAAGCTACTTCCTGCTCTACCACTGTATTCCTCAATTAATATTAGGAAAAAAGGTTAAGTTATGACAACTTTGTATATGACAAAAAAAAGGTAAACAAAAAATAATCTGAAAAAAGATAAACTTAAGGTGTAAAGGAATTAAAGATTACAGATATTGTCTTATTTTCTCAAACATGGAATAGACGCAATGGAGCTAACTGACTGGGTCTTCTACTTTTGACTCCTTAGAACTAACTCACGGAGAGTTTTTGTTGTTTTATTTTTTAAGGGCGTATTTTTATACCTAGTTGTTGCTTCAAAATACCCTCTAAACTGTCATTAAGCATGTCCCCTGAAACGTTCACTGTGAAAGCAGAAAGCATCTATAGCTAGTACCTCTTTGGCGACGGTGTGCCAGTGAAGGTGGGTCTCACAAACATCCATCCGCTCCTGATGCAAAAATTTGCATTTGTCGGGAACCAGAAGGGCGTCGCTAACAAACTCACCAACTGAAAAAAAGCAAAAATGATTAACGTCATGCCATCTGCATCACGGCACTCTTATCACTGATATGGTATTAAGAAGGGTAGACTAGAAGGACTTCACAGGAGTTAGAGAGCTTTCTAAATGACTAAGCAATCCCAAGAAGACTGGAATACCTTTGAAATGTCGCATCCTGCCTCCTTAAGTGGCCTAGTCCCTTGCCACATCACCTTTGATAGTGAAAGTATTTCCTGCATGTTAAAAGTGAAGTCCTTCTTGAATGAATCTGAATTTCTTGAGTCAAAGTTAATCATGCAAAAAGCTGCTTCATTAGAGAATCAGTTATCATTCAACTGAAGTGTGGGGAGGGGGGAAATACAGAGACTGGCAGAATCAATATAAATAACTGTCTTCCTCGACATTTTAACCCACTTGTAAACGAACAGAAATTTTAGCACTTTTCTACTTCCTAAGCCAAAATAAAATTATGCACATGTTATATATATTTTATGTATATATATGCATATGTATGCATAGAAAGTGCTTAAGTCAATTCAATTATGAAAATACTGCCTTGGACTTTTTGTTATATTTTTAAGAAAAATGTACATTATGCAAATTATTTCTGGGCATTGCTTGTACTGCAGATATAAAGATATTCTAATGAGGGTAAAAGATGGATCATTACAACATAACATATAAGCTGTGAGCTTAATGTTTATTTTGTTCACACAGTATTGCCAGTTTTTAGCACAGATTATGCACACAGTAGGCAATAAATAGCTGTTATGAAGGAACAAGTTTAATGCTATAATAAAGATGTGAACGAAGTGCTGGGCCAGCATAACAAGTGGCCAAATCCGCTTGGGTGAGTTGGGAAAGTTGGGAAAGTAGAAGTAAGTTAGATATGAGTCTAAATGACTGAGCAGGAGTATGCCCTGTAGGGAATGTATGGAAGTTCCAGAGTGTAGGGAGAATATTCATCTTGGTTACCACTGGACCCAATCCCTGACCCAATTCTGGCAAACATGACCATATTGGACGGATGGATGGATGGATGGGCGGAGGGAGGGAGGGATGGATGGATGGTGGGTAGATGAGTGAGTGGGTGAGTGACAGGATGGATGGGTGGGTGGGTGGATGGGTGGATGCTTAGCAAAAGGCACTTCAAAAAGAGTAAACCTGTGTAAAGAGAGAGTAAAGAAAGGATTTTTGTTGGGTGAGAATTCGATTGTGGCTAGAACACAAGATAAGTGGAAAAGGGACTCTCAAAGTAATCAGACTGGAGAAATAGGTTGGACTCCAATTTTAATGAGCCAAAAGTTTTGGACACCATTTTGGAGGCAACATGGGCCAAAAGATGTTTGAAATAGGGAATGACATGTCCAAGTTCATTTTTCAGAGAAAACATGAAGGATGAATGTATAGGGAGACAATGAAAGCCAGGCAACCACTGAGGGAGCCACTGCAATCCTTCAGGCAGGACATGCGAGAACACATTCAAGTCTATGGCTCCATCTAAGCAAGAAATGCAGGGTGCCCACACACCAGCAAAGGCAGAAACGCACTTTTTTCTTGCAGTTACAGTGTATGACATTTTTCTAAAATGTACCATAAAGAGCAACAAAGACCCTAAGAAGTGAGGGAGAAAACACTTAGTTTTCATTCCCTTTATGTAAATGTTTTTGTATCTTTTTCTTTAGCGGCTTTTAAACTTTATTCTATTATAGCTCAGCCACGCAAGATGTTTCATGATATTCGAGTACTTGTTAATAAATTTATCTATAATGCATATTAATACATAACAATAGGTATTAATATGAATAAATAATATTTAGATTAAAATCTAAGCAAACCATAGGGGAGAAAAAGCCTTTTGTCTTGCCATTCCTTAAATCTTTAAAGCCCGGTGATGAAGCACGCAGCACGGTAGTGTGTGTTACAGGGAGTGCAAGAATTATGAGACATGGTGCTCCAAACGGCTGCGGGGAGGGCACCAGTGAGTACTAGGCACCTACTCAATGGCAATGGATGGTACTGAACATGTATCTTTGCATCTCAATTCCACAATATCCGTAAGATCTAGCTCTTATCCTCCCAAAAAACCTAAGCCCACCTACCTCAGATTACAATTAGTTCCACAGATTAAGAATATATCAATGCATACAAGCAATTAATAAATATTACTATAAATAAAATTAATAATTAAACATCAATGAAAAAACAATGATATAAATAATAAACAAAGAAATAAAAAATAATGGCAATGACTTCACATAGAAAGTATAGGAATCTAATTCAGAACGCACACACTTTCCCCAGGCCAACTCCTCGGGGTTTCTGAGGTTGGTCAACCATCCCTAGATGCCACAGAAAATACCTGATACCGAAAAACCAAAAGCCTAACCCGTTGCTCTTGAGTCGATTCCAACTCATAGCGACCCTAAAGGACAGAGTAGAACTGCCCCATAGAGTTTCCAAGGAGTGCCTGGTGGATGTGAACTGCTGATCTTTTGGTTAGTGGCTGTAGCACTTAACCATTACGCCACCAAGGTTTCCCTGAGGCATCCCAATTTCCAAGGCCACGAGAGGGCCGTGAAGACCAATGGTCTGAAGACGCCATTCATTTGTCAGCTCTCAGGCTCTTTGATCGGGCGTCAAACCCTGGTGTCATATTTACAAATGCTGGAAATACCAAGTGATATTTTTCTATTATATGGGTAATTATTGGGAAGATTAAATGTCTGGGCCAAGGCTATTAATTCAGTTCCTAAGAAGATCATTCTGAGCATTTCTGAGTAGACATTCTTGACCTTGGCCTAAAAAAGTTCTTAGAGCATAAACCAGATACCTGTCCAACAACAAAACCAAATGTATCTTGTTTTACTTGCTCTTAGCCAATCTGTCAAGAGCTATATTATAAAGCTAAAGTCACTGGAAGATATTTACCAAGATAAAAATCTAGTAGTTATCAGAAGAACATATACTGCATTAATCATACTATAACAAAATAGTTCACTGTTGTTATAAAAAGAATTTTAAAAGAATATTGTAAAATGACATTTTCTTTAGAATTGTGAAGATGCCCTGAGGTTCCCAATAGTACACATAACCAAGAAAAATATGCCCCACCTCCAAAATAAGACTGATTATTTAATAAGCCCTCAGGACTAAGAGCAAAATAGAAAACTCATTGTACTCTAACACTAAAATAAAATTTAGCAATGAATTCTGTTCTTTTACAGCCTTGCTTATATTACTTTCAAAACTGATGAAACGTACTAGAATGTTACTCATTAGGAACATTAAGCCATTAAACCACACAAGTCTATTAAAAACATTTAACAAGAATTAAAGTGGTAAAACTATAATGAACTCTTTTCACAAACTAGCTTATCTTAAAATGGTTTGTTTTCTCGTTTTTTTAATTCTGAAGGAATTCTTTTTAAATATCTATGATACTATGTACCTGGAGTTTTGATATACAGACATGCACATGTTTATTCTGAAATCAAACCTGTTTATTTGGTTTGTTTCTTCAGATAAAAAAATTCCTTAACAGAATTAAGGGGAGACAGACTAAATACCAAAATAAATTTAAGTACCATAATGAGAAGTCATATTCCTCTTTATGCCTGAGAAACAGTTTAATTCTCATGGAATCCACATTTCTGGGGTCCATGGGGTTGGGGTGACCCACCCAGGCCACGGCCCTGAGATCTTCCTTTTGAACCTTGAGGCTTGAGAAAACTGGTTCCTAAGTCACCATTAAGTCAAACAGTGTAGTAACTATCTTAGTAAGACCATTTTGCCTTAGACATTGGGCTCTTTTGAAGAATTATCTATATGCAGTCAGTTTTGAGAAACAGAAACTCCAAGGTCACACTAGAATCTGTGTTTTAGGGTAAATTGTTATTATGTAAACACTGTTCTGTCCCCGTTTCCATGGCAATACATGGAGTAAAGAATCTTTGGAAGTTCTTTAATCTTTGGAATATTTTTGACACCCTAAGTCAAAATGTTACCCTAATTTGCAAACCATATAGTAAATCAACATCAATCTATTTCTAATATTGGCTTAATACGATTTTTGTCTAACCATGCCAAACCTAAGGGAAACTTGGCACCATTTGTTCCAAGTGGATAAATTCATCAATACGCACTGTGAAAACTATACAACCTTGTTATAGTCTGGCTTTTTTAATTTGTTTAAACAATTCACAAATGCATATTCTATACCCTCAAAAAAAAATTTCAGCTGAAAAAGATAATGAACAAGAGTTGGGTCTGGCTTCTTGGCTAAAAAGTTTTGGCATAGTGAATAATGATGCCGAATTTAATAGGGACTCAGCAGGTCTCATCCCACTATCTCTTTGGTGGTTTCTAAGAGGATTTTCTAGCTCAAATTACCTCATTTTGCAGATGTGGAGGGAAAGAGCCCTGGTTAAGTGACCTGCCCACAGAGCCAACTGGCAGTAGAACTGGGCTGAAAGTCCAATCTCTCGGCTCTCGACCCAGGAGTGGCAATTCACCACATCGTCACTTAACTCTGGTTCCAATGGTTTACTTGGCCTCGTCACTTTGGCTTTTATAAAAGTGTATTCACTTTGAGACTATATAATACTTTAATGTTATAATCCACAATGTGGTTGATTTGACAATAAAACAAGAGTTAAATTAGTTAGCAAGCCATCAGTCGGAAATGCATTCAGCTGCTAGAATAGAACACATGGACAACAGCTGCTCAAACACACAGTGAGATTATTTATCTCACACAAGAAGTCGAATACTGAGACTAGGGAGTCCGTGGATGGTGCAAATGGTTAATGTGTTCCTTGGAAGAAAGGCCTGGTGATCTGCTTCCAAAAAGTCAGCCACTGAAAATCCTATCAAGCACAGTTCTACCCAGATACACATGGGGTTGTCATGAGTCGGAATCGACTCTATGGCAACTGGTTGATTGGTTCGTATTGAAGCTAGGGCTGTTGTAGATGTTCAAAGATGTCATCAGGGAACCAGGCTATTC